AAATGCCCATTAACTAGTGTATGCATAAATCAATTTTAGTATATCTATACAATGGAGTATATTCAACAATGTAAAAGAACAAACCACTGGCACCCAATGACATGAATGAATCTTAAAAGCATTATACTAAAGTGAAAGAGCTAATTACTAGAGAATGCAACTTCAAACTACCTGCTGCCCAAATTTTAGCAAAAGCGCTATTGTAAAAAAAAAAAATCGCATTTATATTTGAACCATACCTTCAGTCCGCCATTGCACGATATCAGTGATGAGCACATAATTTTGTCCAAGGACAAGTTTCAAAAAAGAAAAAAACATATTTGTAGGCTACCTTTACTTTATAAATTGTATATTCTCTTTCGATCAGAAAGTTAAATATCTGCAGCTCACCTTAAGCATTCACTTAACATTCCTTTAACTGAGGGTTTCAGATTATTTGCAAAGTTTCTTAAATGACACATGGAGTACATAGTACAGTATCTGGTTTCAGTGTTTTGCCCTTGAATAGATGCTGTTGGGTAAATATTCATATGTCTTCACTGTCCCACATAACTTAGACTTTATCTCTATGTCACATTTAGTTGCTTTCCCCAGCCCCTGCCTCTCTTGCCTCAGTCCACCTTGTCTCTCAGCAAGCTGTGTGGTTAACCAAACTGTCTACAGCCTCCTGATCAACTGATGGCTCACCATAGTGATGCTCACCACAATAATCTCATAACCCTGTTCTCAGTTCTAGATAGAAAAAAGGAAAAGAGGGTGCATACGCTTTCTTCATTGCAGCCAAGTAGAAATTCTCATCTTGAATCATAATATGGGTGAATTAAGCACAATCAGAGAGAAAAGCCATCCTCCTTGGTGACACTTCTCCTTCCTTCTAAGACACTTTGTCTACCCTCAGCATCAGCCTCAAGATGAGGGTTAAAGAAAAATTAAATAGGACAAAGTTTTCTCCACTTCTGGAAAAAGTGAAATATTCCACAGTCATTCATAACTTGATCTGTAATACTCCTGAATTCTTACCACAGTTGCAATTTTTCTAAATGTCTTCAAACACTTCTGCATCAACAAGTCTAAATAAGTTCTAAACAAAATAAGAAAGAATAATCAGAAAAAGGAAAGAAGAAAGAAGGGAAGGAGGAAGGGAGGGAGGGAAGTCCTATGAGGAAACTGCTGTTCCACATACATGACATTTCTAAGTGTTCATTTTGGATTACTCTTTAAATGCCTTAAAGTGGGCTTTGAGAATTTTACATCTAAGAGAAATAAGGTAAGATAGGAGTCCACACATGTGCTAAGTACTCAGATGTGACTTAAAGAATCGATTATCTTAATCGCTCATGTTTATGTAAGCAGCACATATTAGAAAATGGGTCCCAGTGTTTTGGGAAGCTGAGGAAGGAGAATTGCTTGAGGCCACGGGTTTGAGAATAACCTGGACAACATAGCAAGACCCCCTCCCCGTATCCAAAAACTACTTGTTTAAAAAGTTAACCAGGTATGGTGGCACACTTCTGTAACCCCAACTACTTGGGAGGAGGCTTAAGTGGCAGAATCACTTGGGCTCAGGAGTTTGAGGTTACTGTGAGCTATGTTGCACCACTGCACTCCATCCTGGGTGACCAAATGAGACCCTACCTCCAAAACACAGAAAGGAAAAGAAAATTAAGTTCATCCATCTTAAGCATAGTCATGACTCAGCTACACTATTCTTCCACTTTCTCATCTCTATTCAGATCAGTAGCAATTAAAGGACAAATTTTAGAGATATGTATTGTGTCTCAGTTTACAGAGTGATTTTTAATGGACAAATGCATGTGATTGACTGATTATTGTTTTTATTACATGTAAACATAACATGTCTAAAACAATGTAAACATAAGATAGATTATAAGGCTGAGGTAAATCCTGTTAAGGATATGTGTATTAAATTCATCAATATCTCTCAGCAACTCACAAAAAGGCTATGATTCCTGCGTGTTCTGTCACTTGAATAAGTTTAGGAACATCTGCCCCAATTGTCCCTATGCCTACTCTGCCATTTTTTTTCATTCTCTTCCAGACCCCAACCCCACCCTTATTCTCTTCTCACTCCCCAGAGCACCCTTCTGAGCTGAAGGCCTTCAACATGCATCTTTTCCGTGTTCACAACCCTTCTTTCTGCCTCGGAGGCACTCTTCCCCATGTCTGCTCTCTCACCCTCTGCCACTTCCTTGAAACTATGTGTGATTCCCTTTTCTCCTTGGTGTCTTTCATCTCCTTTTCTCCTTGGTGTCTTTCATCTCCTCTTCTCTGTGGGACCCTACTGCTGTAAAAGTGATTTATCCATCTAAGATGCTGAGAAGTTAAACGTCCCAAAAACTCTTTCTCCGACATTGACACATGGATCACCACCAACCATGTTTTAAGAAAAGTGATCCGATGAATAATGCTCCTGGTGTTTGTTTAGCAACCTCTCCCACAACATCAAGCAGCATCCCACTTCAAGACATGAGGACCAAAGGCAGCCTGTCTGCCCCAATTCTTTTAGGTTATGCTTCTGTGAAAGGATGTGCATGCTAAGTCTTCTTGGGTCTCAGGAGACTCTGAGAGCTACATCCTCAGTGCTCACATTGCCATGGTCACCTCATCGTGTAAATGAAGACAGCTGGGTTCTTCACCAAAACCAAATAAAATACTTGTTTTCTTCAATGGCTGAGTCACAGTGTTTTGTCATACAGCACCATTCCCAATCTTTATGGTAATTGCTGGAGCCACGATTGCATCTCTCACAGCCTGATATGATGACCAAGCAGTCAGAACCTGCCACCTCCACTTGCTCACCTCTCCTTGCCTCGTAAGCCCTTGTGTTTGGCTTCCATGACAGTAAAGCAATTAAAATGGATCTCTGCAACATCATCTTCTAATCATTTTTTGGAAAACATCTCCACTCTTGGTTTCCCCAACATTTCACTCTTCTGGTTATTTACTTCCATCTTGGTCACCTCTGAGATCCCCTTTTCCTCCCCCCAAGAAAATATCCCCCAAGGAGTTGTCTTCAAATCAGCTTTAGCAAAATGACACTTATTGGCCCAAGTGACTGGGAAGGAGAAGGGGCTACGGGACCTAAGGCCCAGGAACTAGAACTAAACTCTCCACCTACCAGGACGCTCACTGTCTACATCCATCTCTCATCTCTGCTTGCCCCTGCCTGAGTGTTAGCCTCATCTCCTCCTCCTGCAAAGAAACTCTGCTTATATAATGGGGAATGTGCCCAGGTGCAGCTCAGCTGTGAACTCCCAATGAAAAGAGAGCGCTTTCTTCTCCACTGTTGGCTGAGGATCTAGGTAGTTCCACTGTCTTGATGCTGCCACAGGAACCAATGGCCTTGGTGCAGAGTTCTTCCAATAAAAATGGTTTTTGTATACTGACATATCTCTGAGAAAATCCTAGAAAAGCTGAATAGGTAACAAAACTGGTCACCTTGAAGGATGCCTACTAGACACTGGAAGCAGCAATAACTCCTGATGGATGGGAGGACTCAGCCCGTGCTACATAATTTATCCTTCACACTCCCATGAGAATCTTATCCCAACCTTGCCAGGAACAGTCATTTTCCAAACCAGCATTGCCTGTACACCTGGAAACTTGCAGAAAAACCAGAGGAATGAGTGAGAGAATAAATAATAAAGGAATCATAACTTATAAAGACTTTTTTGTAGATACTAGTGATTGTTTGGAGGGTTTCTTGCCCAAGAGAAGCCACTGGTAAAGTTGTGAAGTTGAGAAAGACGTTATTTGGTGTCCTACCCTCTTCTTCCTGTCTCCTTTCCTCATCCTACAGACATCCAATGCCTCCATGGTAACTTTCACCATCAAAACCAAGGACTATAGATCCAAGGTCTCTCTACTTTTTTTTTCCCAAAAGAGAATTCCCTTTTATGGTGGAATAATCTCAGTTGGCAGTAAAGAAAGAGCACCTCACAAAACTAATTCACATTAAGGTGTGCATGACTAATATACCATCTTTCCCTGGTTTGTGGTTCTGAATCACAGATTATATTGACTCAATCACCAACTATCCCAAGGACTCCAGAACTTCTATTTCTGGACTTTACCTTTAGCTTCTTCCTACGAAACTGGATCAATATATCCAATTACCCATAGGCACCATATTTAATGTCTAAACTCATTGCCTTCTCTACCTGGAAAATGCGTGTCCTTAAATAGTGTCATCTTGGTTTTGAGTCATTGGCTCAAAACCCATTGGCTCCATCAGGCCCTGGAAAGTATTCCCAAACTCCTCCCTAACCTCAGCCTCTGCCCACCCCCAACCCCAATCAGAGATGAATAGTTACAAAATCCTACTGATTCTGTCTTTCTCTAGCCACCAGCCCCACTGATGTTTCAGAACTTCATTATTTCTTGCTTGAGTTTTAACAGTAACATTCAACCATAGCAGCTCCACACCATAGCAAACTGATCAAATCTGATCCAATCTCACCCTGTTACCAGAGGGAGCTCCCTAAAATGCAAAATTGATCATTTCACTCCCTTGCCTAAAACCTTCAAATAGCTTTCCATTATTTGGAGAAGGAAATCCAAATTTCTTAAAGGCCTAAGTTCCTTCACATTTTGGTCCCCATTTATCTCTTTGGTCCCATGTTCTTCTGCCTCCCTCACTGTACTTCATGTTCCTGCTTTGCCAACCATTCATATTTTCTGAGCATGGGATGCCATTCTGTGCCACTGTGCTCGTGCACATACTCTGCCTTCCAACCAAAAAGCCCTCTGCCTCCCAATCTTCCTAGTAAACTTCTATTCATCCTTAATTTTATTTATTATTTGTTTATTTATTTTTGAAACAGAGTCTCACTCTGTCTCCCAGGCTGGAGTGCAGTGGCATGATCTCAGCTCACTACAATCTCCACCTCCTGCGTTCAAGTGATTCTCATGCTCAGCCTCCCAAGTAGCTGGGATTAAAGGTGCCAGCCACCACACTCAGCTAATTTTTGTATCTTTAGTAGAGATGGGGTTTCATCATGTTGTCCAGGCAGGTCTCGAACTCCCAGCCTCAAGTGACCCACCTGCCTCGGCCTCCCAAAGTGCTAGGATTACAGGTGTAAGGTACCACGTCCAGCCCATTCATACTTTAGACGAAACACCAGTGTCACCTTCTCCGGCAACCCGTAGAGGACCTACCCTCTATCAAAGAACAACTCAGTGTCACTTTCTTTCATCTTGACTCTGTACTGCATATCTTTTTATATTGTTACATTTGTCACACTGTATTGGAACTGTTTTTTGTAGCCATGTAAAAAAAGAAATTTCTATTTAAAACCATAACCAACCTAATTGCTTTTGCCCTCAGGGAGGGGCATTATTTTTCCCCCAATAGAAATGTTTGCAAAATAATTGGAAAGGCTGTATTTGATGCAAGGGGTAAAGTCTCCAGGACCTGCGTTAGCAGAGAAGAGAGAAACAAAAAACTAAACCATACTGCAAATGAAAGTGGGTAAGCAGGAAGGCGGACAAGGTGAGAGCTGAGGAGAGATGGAGTCAGGGACAGAGCTACGAGGAAACAAGCAAGGAGCCCATGGAGAAGTGTTCGCCTCTGAGAACTCCTCAGTGCCAATGGCGGCTGAAGAATGTTTACGAACAGGAATACCTACCATTAAGTGTGGAGTTAATTGCCCCATAGTGCTGCTGAGTACCTCCCTCTGTCACTCTCCATCTCCAGTGACATCTACCACACACGCAAATGCCCAATATGCCTTTCCCACACGGCAAAGCATCTACGTCAGCTCAGAGCAGTGCCACCTTGCAGGAGGTGGACCACGAATGCAGAAGATCAAGACCGCAACACCTTAGGAAGCCAGCACACTAAAGGAATGCTAAGATTCCCTAGGGTATCCCCACAGGTATAGAGGAAGGGCGCACTGGGTGGCTTGAACCAATTATTGCCTAAATTTTAATAGACATGATGACATGATGACCCCAGTTGACAGGGATTGAATTTGCTAACTTTTTTTCTGTCTCCCCTCTTGACCACAAGCATCACAACAGAAAGAATCGTGCCATATTGACTTTGACTCCCCAGTGGGGGACATGCTGCTGCATTCTTTTTTTTTTTTTTTTTGAGACAGAGTCTTGCTCTGTCACTCAGGCTGGAGTGCAATGGCAAAGTCTTGGTTGGCTCACTGTAACCTCCTCCTCCCAAGTTCAAGCAATTCTCCTGCCTCAACCTCCAAGTAGCTGGGAATAGAAGTGCCCACCACCACGCCTGGCTAATTTTTGTATTTTTAGTAGAGACAGGGTTTCACCATATTGGCCAGACTAGTCTCAAACTCCTGACCTCATGATCCGCCCATCTCGGCCTCCCAAAGTTCTGGGATTACAGGCGTGAGCCACCGCGCTTGGCCAGTGCTGTATTCTTCAAAGGAGGTTTTCAAAGAATATCTAGAAAATGGAATCTACCTTACCAGGTTAATGTGTCAACCTTCTAGGAGTGAATATTCTTTCAAAAAGCCTGCAAAAGTGATGTTTTAAAGATAGTATTTCAGCAGAGCGCAAAATGTATTTTAGAGAAAGTCTCCTCCCAGTTCCTCATAAATCACATCGCATAGAAAAATGGTCCATTTTGCTAAGCTTGAGACACAGCCATAGCTGACATTCTTGGAGCCATACAAAGATGGGAACAAAGAGTGAGAGCACCAGAAGTGGAGGAAGCGAATTTTCCTAAAGACATGAAACAGAACACCCACAAAGATGAACAATTACCGGCTCAACCCTACTGCCCTTTCATGTATCAAATTCAAGAAGTTTGGTGAAGACAATGGGTTTCAAATAATCTTTATCTTAAATATGATTGCCATGCAATGTTAACTTTTATGCATTTAACCTTGAGCCACTGCGAGTAAAATGGGGGTCATTTTGGAGGCTAGAAATGTAGGTCAGACATCTCATTTAAGTTCCACCAGCACTGACTTCCTTCCCTTGGGGTTACTGTAAGAAGTTGCCTGTTTGGGTCAGATGGTGAGAAGCCAACTTTGGTCCCCATAATGCTCTTCGTTGTCTCCCACACAGGGCACGCAGCAGTCAAACCGAAACAGCATCCTTGCTGCCTCCTTTCAGAATCCACCACATGGGTGAGTCAGAGACACTTCCCAGCCTGATCTGCTGCTGCTATCAAAGATGTTGTTTACTGGGCTGGCGACTGGAGAAAGCAAATTGTCTGTAACAGACGAATTGAATTGGGGCCTACACACAATGAACCCGAATTATTGCTTTGCAGAAGGAGACACTGACATAGAGATTGCAAGTGGGTAGATCATACCTAATAATTGCTAGAGCGAATGGTCTTCCAGCCTGGAAACAGAATGCTTAGGCTAACCAAATCTCCAACTTGATGAAGAATTACCCATGCAAGAAAGATTTTTCAAAGAAAACACTCAGATACACATAAGCACACTGTTAGTTTTCTATCGCTACTTTAACAAATTACCACAAAGTTGGTGGCTTACAACAGCACACGTTTCTCTTACAGTTTCACTGGACCAAAATCAAGGTGTCAGCCAGACTTTACACCCTCTGGAGGCTCTAGGAGAGAATCACGGTTTACCTTTTCCAGCTTCCAAAACTGCAGTCCTTGCATTCCTTGGCTTGTAGTCCCTTCCTCCATCTTCAAAGCCAACTCTGCGGCACCCTGTTTCGGTTCTCAATTGCCTTGTCTCTGTAGTCAAATCTCCCCCGCCTCCCTCTCAGACAGAGTCCAGTAATTACATTCAGAGCCCACCTGCATAATTTAGAATACTCTCCTTAAATTAATTACATCTGCAAAGTCTTTCTGGCCATATACGGGAACATTCACAGGTTCCAAAGATTAGGACATAAATATCTCTGGGAAACATTATTCAACCTAGCATATCAGGCAGGAAAGCTTGTCAAAAAAGAAAATCAGATACACATGGGGCTCTAACACAGCAGAACATAATCTTGTCTTGATCATATAGAGAACAATATCTAAGGTTGCTATCCTTATGAACGTCAATTCATCACCATATTCTATTAGTAAAGCAATGCCTGTTAATACAGAGTTCTGATATATAACTGAAACCAGAGGCTCAGCTCTATTTTACTTCAGAATAAATTACGAAGTGTGGACTTGTTTTTCATTCAGTATCTTGGGGCAAATAGTAGAATTTGAAAATCTGCCTTTCCAAGAGGTAAGCGTTTTTCTGCCTTGCATAAAATGTGTCTTGAAGCTCCCTATATTTTTCTTAAAAAAAACAATGCATGTATGTGGGCCCTTTAATTATGCAAGTGTAAAGTGGAGGCCCTTGAAAAGCTGTGGTTCCCGGGGACTAAATTGCTCTTTGTAAAAGGTGATGTAAAAGGTCATATATACTATAGGCAGAGTTGCATTTCTTCAGACTATGCCCTTTGTAGAAAAATGTCTTTCTAACTAATAAGAAATACTGGGCTGTTGTGCACTGTTGCTGGTTATCATAGAGGTGTGTATTTTCAGGCTTTTTGTTTTAGTTGTTGAGATAGTCAAAATTCCAGCAAAGATATAAAGGCACAACTTTGAACTCCTGCTGGATGACAAAATGAAAAATAGAATTAGGTTAGATATAATTCAGCTTCCTTAGACACAAATATGAAACTAAATGAACATTTAGAAAATGTAGGCCAGGTGTGGTGGCTCATGCCTGTAATCCCAACAGTTTGGGAGGCCAAGCTAGGAAGAATGCTCGAGGCCAGGAGTTCAAGACCAGCCTAAGCCAGACAGCAAGATCCTTTCTCTACAAAAATAAAGAAAGAATCAACCCAGTGTGGTAATGCACACCTGTAGTCCTATCTACTCAGGTTGAGACAGGAAGATCGCTGGAGCCCAGGAGTTCAAGGCTGCTGTGGGCTGTGATTGGGCCACTGCATTCCAGCCTGGGCAATAGGGCAAGGCCTTTTCTCTAAAACAAGAAGAAAGAAAAGAAAATGTAATAATATTGTGCTATTGCAATCTAAAATAATTGTTCTTGGAACCTGATGTGATTACTAGTGCCATGTAATAAGTCATCCCAAAATTTTATTACGTAGAACCAAAACCATTTTATTTTGATCACAAAAATCCAAGAAGAGTTTAGCTGGGCAATTCTCTTCAGATCTCGTGAGCAGGCAAGCATCCTACGTATGTAGCCTGTGTAGGAGTAGCACAGGGCGCTGCGCTTAAAAGGGCCGCATAGTTGTTTCAATGCTCTGTTTGACGGACTTAATGTTTTTAACAATAGGCCCCACATTTTAATTTTTGCACTGGAATCCATAGATTATGTAGCCGGTTCTACTCATGAGGTTGCATTCAGATATTGGCTGGAGCTTCATCAATGGAAATCTCAGCTAGGCTGGATGTCCAAGATGGCTTCTTCTCATGGCTGGCAGTGGGTGCTGGCCGTTGGCTGGGAGCTGCCATGAGACTGCCAACCAGAGAGCCTGACAGTGGCCTTTCCAGGAGGGAAAGGATAGTTCGACTTCTTGCATGACAGTTGACTCCCCCAGAGTGAATATTTGAAGGGAATAAGGTGGAAGGTGCATAGACTTTTATGACCTAGACTTGGGAAGCATGGAGCCTGACAAAAGTTACCAGGCCTCTATCTGCAGGTGGCTGAGGGGAACAGGAATTGATGTCTAAAACCAGATAGTTGGTCAAGTTGGTGAACAATTTCAGGAAAAGTTTAGAGGAAATGAGGATGTTGCTTACAGATTCCCAGAAAACCCTGAAGAAGAGGGCTTAGTAAAGAACTGCACTTCCTATAGACAAGCAGGATAAGGGCCATTATAATTTGAGATATTGATAGAAGCTGGCAGACCCAAGGATCTATCGGTTAGCTTTCTAATGAGCTTTCCAAAGGCTTAAAATTTCATAATTATGTAACTAAGAAAATATTGAAATTATCTTGCTCTCCCCGACCATTCACAGAAAAAGTGATCCTCAGAAAAGATGCCATGGTTCAGATCCTCTCACACAGGGAAGTGATTTGTGGCGGATCTCCCACAAAAGGCAATGG